CACCCCTTGACGGTTTCCACAAAGGTGCCGGTGGGCCATATGACATTGGATAGTTTGTTCACCATGGCACCTCTACACTCCGCATGTTGACCATCCACCACTTTCGGCTTCACATTGAATATCTTCAGACATAATCCAAAGTAGGGTGGGATGCGGAGGAAGGCCTCGCACACGACAATGAATGTTGAGATGTTGAGGAAATAATTCGGGGCTAGATCGTGGAAATCTAGCCCGTAGTAGAACATGAGTCCGCGGGCGAAGGGGTGGAGGGGAAATCCTAACCCGCTGATGAAGTGGGGGATGAATACCACCCTCTCGTTGGGCTCCGGAGTGGAGACGATCCGCCCCTTGGCGGGAAGCCGGTGGGCGATTCCCTAGGCCAAGTACCCCGCATCCCGGAGCTCCGTGATGTTCCCCTCCGTGACGGAGGAGGCCATCCACTTGCCCTGCGTTCTAGATCCGGACATGGTCGGGGTGCTTTTTGGAGGCAGAAAGGATGGAAGCTTGGGCGCTGGAGCTCGAGAACGGATGGGCAGAGAGGAAGAAGGCGTGGGTGAAAGAATGGATCTTTATCGTCTTATAAAGGCAGCGAATATTAAGCGCCTCCCCACTTGCCTTAAAACTCACCTATTCCCCAAGGGGCGTGCGGATGGCGCGGTTGGATTACCCACGCCCGTATTGATGAGAATCCCGTGATAAGGGGACATGATCTCTGCTTCGATAAGACGTGCCAATGAATGACACCTCGGAATGTGGAGCGGGAAGCTAAAAAACGGTTCGAAATCATGACCGGGCAGGGACGTAACGTCTCGCTACAAAAAGTTGTCAGTAGATGGGACTTGTGAAATATTATACTCTTTGCGGCTATATTGGTGCTTGTCTTGCAGAGCTAGACACATTTTCTGTGTTCGAAGTATTCGGAGGAGGAACCCGCCTTGCAATGCCGAAGACAATTTGCGCGCCGGACACATCGCCATTGAAGCCTGGTTCAGGGGCTATTGAGGGAGTCCTGGATTAAGGGTCCTCGGGTGTCCGGGCTATGTGACATGGGCCGGACTAATGGGCCATGGAGATACAAGACAAAAGACTTCCTCTCGTGTCCGGATGGGACTCTCCTTGGCGTGGAAGGCAAGCTTAGCGTGCGGATGTGAATATTCCTTTCTCTGTAAACCGGCTCTATATAACCCTAGCCCCCTCCGGTGTCAATATAAACCGGAGGGCTTAGTCCGTAGAGGCGATCATAATCATACAGGCTAGACAATTAGGGTTTAGCCATTACGATCTTGTGGTAGATCAACTCTTATAACCCCTATACTCATCAAAGTCAATCAAGCAGTACATAGGGTATTACCTCCATCAAGAGGGCCCGAACCTGGGTAAAACATCGTGTCCCCTGTCTCCTGCTACCATCAATCCTTAGACGCACAGTTCGGGACCCCCTACCCGAGATCTGCCAGTTTTGACACCGACACTATGTCAATAGGTTAGTCCCAAAAAATGATATAAAGTTACTAGTAAATGAATATAAAATATCCAAGATTGATAGTATAACACCATGAAACAATCAAAAATATAGATACGTTGGAGACGTATCTGCGAGCATGCTAAAGGAAGATGTTATCAACCGATAGGTGACAACAACACATATAAATGAAATCAAGCATCTGCTGAGCTCTTGCCGTGAACACAAAATAGAGGTTATCAAATGTGAGGCGAACTTTGTTAGTCACTCTCTTGCTAGATATGGGTGTTGCACGCCCCGTGCAGCGGTTTGGCTGCCATAGCATATCTAGCATACACGTACTCCAACATAAACAATTATTGAAAATATAACTGTGTCGCGAGGGGGAGGGGGCCAGAGCCCCTGCCATAGCACAAGGTGGGGGAAGGGCATGGAATCCTCCCTAACTCTAACTTAACTAGTACTTCCTCCGTCCCATACTATAAGACCGTTATATTATGGGGCAGGGGGGAGTAGTTATTTGATATGATTTGAATACACTATAAGTGTTTGTAGGTAACGTATATTGATTATCATTTCGATGTTTATATAAAAGGTGTCTCGGATTTAGTTCTGCTTGGGCCATCAAAATCTCAAGACTGGCCTTGCTCTTGCTTCCTCCCACTAGCGATGGGTTCATTGTCGATCTGTAAGGTGATATTGATCGTCTTAGGGTCGCTGGTCATTGTGGCAGTAGTAGCCAAGCTAGCACACTACATCTACAAGCACCGCTGATGCACGTCATCGCCAATGCCACCACCACCTTCCCACTCGTCGTCGGCGCCACCACCAACTGCCCACTCATTGCCTTGGGTTGACTATCCATGTCCTTTCGTCACCGAGAACCTCTGCATTGTGCCTTGGAGCCCAGTGCACGAGCTCATTGACGTCCTCATGTTGTTGCACTGATGGAGAGCCACACGATCTCCTCATGCGACGAGGAGGAAGTTGCCACAATGACAAACATCGATCTTGTTTGACCCCGAATTGAGGTGTTATAGATCGCCAACTCTTTTGTAACAAAAAGGGCTCTAATTCCACAATTTTTTTCTTCTTTACATCAATCAGGAATGACCCGTACAATATTTTGGTTTCCTGTATGGGCAAATTTGAGTTTAGTTACTCTCTTTGTTTGACAGTACTTTCAATCTAATTCCCTCATTATCTGCATTTACACAGTTTCCAAATTATTCCATTTCACTCTTGTAAAGATTCAATTCTTTTCTTTCTGTAGCCCTCGAATTTTTCAACTAGGAAATAGATGGGAGCACCAAAGGACGCTGACACTCTCTATGATGGATTCATAAACGTGTGGTGGATTGTTCCTCAGAAGTTATCATGGATAAGCGAGCCCTAATGATTCTCACTTACATTATATATATTCTAACTTGGCAGTAAGATCTTTTTTTCCTTCAACAATGCACTTTTCATATTCATGGCTATGCATTCCCAACAATATAATGGTCACAACAATTTATTGGACTCACGGGTAATGAAATCAAGTTTGAACCATTCCCTATAGAAAGATGTTTTCACAGAGGCTATGGTTGGTTTCAAACTAGAGAGAGCTAGTTCGGTGAGCTTTTGAAACTCATCCTTTACAATAGAACTGATTTTTGCCTTTTTGTGGGTTTTACTATGAATCACCTATTCTCTTACTTATTTGCAAAAATAGGTTGATCTTCCTTGTCCAATACAAAAACATTCCACTGGGCATATTCTTTGGTTCTTGATTGTGGCGAATTTTATTGACAAGAGTTTTGATGCATTAAATCCAGATAACAATACAAACAAATATCTATCCAGAATTTCAGTTGTTGTGTACAATTTCAAGATTCTTTTCATGGCAAGCTATCCTCACTGTCCTTTTTTCAACATTCGATATTTTCAAATAAGACATGTGCAAGCACCAAAGTTGGAAAAACATGTTTTATTCTTCTTGCTCATGTCAATAGTACTTCACCCGTATAGTTCAATTGATCTGTTCATGCAATGGTAATCTAACATTTATTAGTCTGCAACAGAGAAATGCAAATGATTAAGGTATTTACGTCTCCAAGTACATGTCAACTTACGGTGGAATTGAGACCTTTTTTTTCAAATGTTGGTACCGTCGTTTTTTTTTTCATTCAATTTCCGTCTTCAAGTGTTAGTTGTATTTCTACATTTGCTTTCTCCAAAATAAATTATCATTTTTTTGGATAAGTAGCTTGTTAGTTCACTTTTCAACTTGCTTATTTCTTTATTTTTATTTCTGCAGCTGGATTTACAAGCAACACGAGAAAATTTTGTCTTTCATCTTGTGACAAAACAAGTACAACCGAATTAAACTACTATTTTTCAAGGAAATTATGGATAAATATGTTACAAGATTGATGTCTATTCACTTTTTTTCTTGCAATTCAATTTTAAATCAATTTTTTACAACAATCATGTTGCAGCTCTGAACTAAACATCCAGTTAACCTGAAATGCAGGCTTCACATGTCTTGCACTAAGCAATAACATATGATCCAACATGAGCAGTTTCCATCACTTATGTTGTCCTAGCTTCAAAAAGTGAAGAAAGAACCATCTTCCAAATTGTAATAGGAATTGTAGAGTGAGTACTTTCCTTCTTGTTAAGTTTTTGTGCAACTTCAAGCATTGCAGGTATAATTCCTCAAAAGATAGCCGATGAGCATTTTTCACCTATGAGCATTTTTCTCAAAGCATAGGGTGAACTTTTTTTTGTCGAATAGCTGATGAAAATTCTTTCAGTGACAACGTATACTATCATCAATGTTATGTTCTCTTTTTCTCCATTTTTGTGTAATTACCATCATTTCACCTAAAAACACTGAAGTTTCTATGCAACTACAAAGAGTTGCACGTAGCTGACGAAAATTCTTTCAACACACTCTGAAAGTACACTATAATCATTTTATGTGCTTTTTTCATCTTTCCTGTTCAATGATTCATTGTCTTTGAGAAATCGAAAGAAAGTAGCTTTTTTTAGACATTCAAAATAAATTAGTTTTTTTTACAAGATCAAAAGAAAGTAGCTAGGAGAAGAAAATCACAAAAAAAAATTGAGACAGAGAAGAAATTCACATGAAGAAACTATGCTCACCGAGCGAATGAACGAACGAACGAGCGAACGAAACGGGCTGGGCCCAAGAGAACCGTTTCTTCAGGGACGAGAGACACCTTCTGTCTCGCAGCAAGCGGCAGACGGGCTTTATCCGAGAGTCTAAGCGGGTCATTGGGCCGAGAACGCGGCGGCCCATCGCGCCGATCCCACCACCTAGGGTTTCTCCTCGCCCGCCGTGAGATAAGACCCCCTCACACCCCCGCCCGAACGGCTTCTCCCTCCCCCCCTACGCCGCCGCCGCCGCCGCCCGCCCGCCCGCCCGCTCCGCCGCAGTTCTCCCAAGGTACCGCTAACTCACTTCCGCGCAGATGAGCACGCTCTCGGTTCCGGATCTTCTCACCTCGAGTTTCCTCTGTGCGCTGTGCAGATGGCGGTGCCTCTGCTGAAGAAGGCGATCGTGAAGAAGAGGGTGAAGCACTTCAAGAGGGCGCACAGCGACCGCTACATCGGCCTCAAGGTGAGACCCCGACCGCTCGCTCTCGCCGTCGCTCGCTCGGCTTCTCTTCCAGAACCGCGCCATTTTTCTAGATGGATTACCCTTGGCTTAGTTCATGTGGGGTTCGGGCGGCTGCCCGACCTCCTCTGCTAGCTCTCGATGCGTGGATCTGGTTTAGATGTCCCGTTAATTAGCTGGCGTCGTCTGCGTAATCGTGGCTACAAAATTGGGACTTGTGGTTGATGTTCTGTGAACATGGTAGGGGGTGGTTTTGTTGTAAGATGAACTGTAGTATTGCATCGTGGTCATTCATTCACGGTCTATCTTTTCTGTAGACACCACTGAGTCGTATGGTGCTCTGTAGTGCTAGAAATTTCCTTCTAAGATGTTGTGTTTGTTCTTGAGAGCTCATTGTGGAAAACCCCCCTTGTTTTATGGAATCCACTAAGAAAAATTCAAAATGTTTCGAGATCCCACTGCACACTGGTTGAGCCTAGACATACCACCCCGCGATGCCAGGCACATGTGACCGGTAACGTGCAGCATGACAAAATCTTGGGTGTTAGACTTGGGAGACGTGCTGCTGCTGCAGCGGAAGGACTATGCAACTTTGTTCTAAATGTTGGGTGTAGCCTTGTGAGTCTGGTCTGGTTATGCATAACTGTTGCATTTTGCATGATGTAAATTAAAATACCATGAAAGCTTGTTGGTACATCAGTTTCTTCAAGTGTCTTGGATTTTATCCTGGCGTGCACAACACTCCTGCAATGTTTCTGGAAAACAAAGTCCGATATCCTCGAATTTGGACGACTCATTTAGCTGAAACTAGTCTCTGCACCATATGCTATCTATCTGCGGGTGTTATTCGGTTATTCCTTCACAATGTTTGTATGCTTATGTAATAAATAGTCGCCATAAAGGATTCAGTATATCGACTGTATTAACAACACATATGTTTTTCTGTTTTATTATTGATAGTTTCAAGTTATCTATTGTGTTGACTAATTCACCTGTTCTGCTCTTATTTATAGCAAAGCTGGCGTAGGCCAAAGGGTATCGACTCCCGCGTCAGGCGGAAGTTCAAGGGATGCACCTTGATGCCCAACATTGGGTACGGTTCAGACAAGAAGACCAGGCACTACCTGCCCAACAAGTTCAAGAAGTTCGTTGTCCACAATGTCTCTGAGCTGGAGCTGCTTATGATGCACAACAGGTATGCATTTCAAAACTACTCACCAATCTTGGTTTGTTATCAGGAGATCTGCAGTTATCACCTATCATTGTTCATTGCTCGATCATGCAGCGTTTGCTAATGACTATCATCTTTCTGCAAACAGGACCTACTGTGCCGAGATCGCACACAATGTGTCCACACAGAAGCGCAAGGCGATCGTTGAGCGTGCTGCGCAGCTGGATGTCGTGGTCACCAACAAGCTTGCCAGGCTCCGCAGCCAGGAGGACGAGTAAAGCATTATCTAGTCAACTAGTCTTGGTTGCTACCTTTGTAGTAGACGTTACATCCCTGTTTGAGAAGAAAAATACTGCCATTTTGCAAGATTTCATGTATGAACTGCCTTTTTGGTGTGAGCAATGGTGAAATGTACTATCTGGTTTTGTCGGTTGCACGTGTTGAATTACGCAAACGTCTTGAAGTATGCACTTGAAATTTGAGTAGAGACCTGTGTGTTTTGGTTGATGCAATTGCTGTTATTGTTCCTGTAACGTTTTGTGGTGCTGTTGCTATTTCTTCTTACCAGAAAGAAGTTTGAGAATGGCTACACGTCAGTTGCCTGATTTTCAAATTTGGGTCAGGCAATCGTTTTTGGCCGTTGGTTGCAGATTGAACGGTGGGCAGCCCTTCTTCCTCCAGCTTCTTCCCCAGGCCGCCTCTAGCTGAGCCCGTGACCGGTTTTTTTCTCTGGCGGAGCCCTGCCACCGCTCCCGTCCTAAACCCTAAGATAGATAATAGGGTGGCTCTCTGGCTCGCTCGGGCATCCTAAACCCTAAGATAGATAATGGGGGTGGCTCTCCGGCTCACTCGGGCAAACTCTCAAAATAGACTAACCCCAAATTTAAAAGTCAGGCGACTGACATTTAGCTAATGTGAAGAAGTTTCAGAGAATCTGCTGTCGGTATTTCTTCTTGCCTGAAAGAAGTCTCAGATCAGTTACCTTGCAACCAGAGTATCATATGAGTTCTGATTATGTCTGTACTAATGTTTGAATCGATGACAGATTTATGAATAAAGCACTGGTCTGGAATATGGTGCATTGGCACTCGTCAGTTTTGGTTGTCACACAGCTCTCGTCTGTCTGAACTTTGGCCCTGACATTACCCTCAGCAACACAGACCAAAACGGGACCAGAAAACAAGTGATCCAAACTCCTCAGCCACAGGCCGGAAGCCGGAACCACACCATCATCACCCGCCGCATATCCACGATATACTCATTCAGTTCATCCAAGTAAAAGCCATCGCCATTGCCGGACGACAGCGATTTGCGCGAGAAATTCGACCCCGGCTGCTCGACAGATTCACATGGGCAAGATAAGATGAAGCGCCCCGGCGGATCACACGACATGGAGCAGTCAATCGCTGGCGCTGCACTGGCAGCCATGGCTTCCACCACTGGCCGATCGGCGCTCGCTCGTGGACCTGATCGCCCGCCTCTGGATAACGGCAGCGTCCTGGAAGTCATGGGGTTGATCTTTTTGCCCCCTCTCGTTGGTAGGAATGTCCGGGATCGCCGCGACGGCGACGGCCCGGTGAAGCCGCATCTGAATCATTGCATTCGTAATCATCACTCTCCTTTTATCCTCTTCGACGCCTTCCCCGTTGATGGCTACACATGGACCGTGACCTGATGCGATTGCTCTCCGGGGAAGAATTCAGAAATTTTGGTACGGGAGCAAATTCTCTACCGACGCTCGGCACAAAGAAATACTATGGTATGAGCTCACACTCATGTCCTGATTCTGTAGTTCACTGCTGTGCTGATTAAGCTTGCATGGTTTCCTTGTAAGCCCTCTGACGGCAGACTCTGTGTCCACTGTTCAACGAAAGAAAGCTACTGCTTCCTCCGAAGAAAAGAGAGAGAAATTCCTTTGAAATAACTACAGTATGTTGTAGACAACTGTTCAAGAATTTGGAGGGAAAGAAACACTTTTGAAATAATGATATTATTATCCAACCGTCTAATACAGTGCTCCATACTAAAAACAAGAAGTGCGGCACGAACATCGTGCGCGCGTCGATACAGAAAAAGGCTTGACACACCACCAAACAATAAAGAGCCAATCGCGAGACACGTGCTCAAAGTTATATATTGTTTTCTTCTCTTTATATCCATTATTATTCCTAGTATGTTTTTGCATGCGAGTTCCTTGTTCTTGTGGCCTAGTATGTACTTATGCAGTAGCATTTTCGTTGCGTGTCAACCGAGGCCTATATGCTTAGAAATTCCCTTGTTCCAAAAGCGGCCTACAATTTCGCTCCCCTTTTCCGGCCGGATCACTCACATTTCGGGGCAACATCTGAGCCATCAACCCTATCATATCATGCATCCACTCTTCATGCCAACATAACCGTTTGAATTGAGAAATATAGGGCCTTCCCTGATTGAGCGATCGGCAAGGAAGTACCTAGAACTCATCTAGATGAGACGTAATTTGGCCTCAGTCACCTAAAAAACAAGAATGGAAACAACCCACGTCAGCACACACACATCTTATAGCATCACATTCAATGGCTATAAAATATGAATGCGACCAAATTAAATCTCATCTAGATGAGTTCTAGCAAAACTGTAGAAGCAAAGGGCCAGCCATTCAATCCGTTCCTTCCCTCCTTGCTTCCAGGGTTTCATTCAGATCCGGCGCACGGTGATCATTGATCAGTTCCGGCAGCTACAGTCCCATCATGGTGCAATGGACCATGACAGTATCATGGATGCATGGTCTCATCACATTCCATACACAGTAGGACATTGCCACCCGATCGCCCGTCGTCGTCGTCCCCGCGCCCACCACCCGCAACGGCACCGAGCGCGATCCGAAGGCTCGACGACGACGACGACATGGATGACAGGCGCACCGGTGTTCCTCCGTCGGGCACGTCGCGCGATTTCCCTCCATGGAACGGGCAGCAGTGGCCACTGGGAGGGGAGGAGAGGGACTTTTTAGTGCCCGTCAGCGGGGTGAACATGTGACACGAGAGGAGGAGCGCAAGAGGAGGAGGGGCGGTTGTACCATTTGGCCATCATTGTGTAGCCCCTCAAGCCACCGGACATTCAAGGCCAGCGGATATATATTGGGCTCGGCAAGTTCGGCGGGCGACGGCGATCCAAGAGTCGTGACGTCTCGGTGATTCGTATGGCATGCATGGGAGTAAACTCTACTACTGTACTGCCGATGGATGGCTTGCTGGTTTCAGTTAATAGAGAACAGTTGAGCAGTGGCTTGCTCCGGGGTCAAAATTCATGTCGTTTTTCGAGGTCGACATGGGTTACAGAAGTACTCCCTCCGGTCCTTTTTTAACATAAATTTAGTCAAACTTTGCATGGTTTGACTTAACAAAAATCTAATATACGGAGTAAAAAGGATCGGAGGGAGTAATACTTTTGGCCAATCATTTTGGATGCTAATGTGTTTCTTAAAATTTAAACTAGTTAAATATTATGAGGTAATTTACGAAACCACTTTCAGTAAATTATCCATGGAAGATACGCTAGTACTATGAAATAAGAAGATACACTAGTACTTCATTTTTGTTCAAAAGTCAAATGAGTTCATGTTTGGCCATGTTTTAAAAAAAATATTAGTATCTACAATACAAAATTTATATCATTTGATCCATTATGAGAAGTAGTTTCATATTTTCTCTATTAGGTATTGCATATATTGATATTTTATTCTATAATCTTGGTCAAATATTTGAATGGTTGACTTGCACAAAAATCAATACATCTTATTTTGTGGGAAGGGATGGAGTACAACACTAAGTCTGAAGTCACCATGTTGGCAACATCTGTTGCTACTCCTATCCACTTGACAAAGGGATGCCGATAGTCCGAGCCGAATACCAAACAGACCTCGCACCAAATGCTAACATCTAAAACCGGAGGCCCCAACCAAGCCACATTACCGGGTCTGCGGCACACACCAGTCCGACGCACTCTCATAGGCTACCGTCGCCGTCTTCCACCGACCCATCTTCAAAGTAGGTACTGACACGTCAACCTTGTCAGGCCTGTCGTCGACGTCACCACGACGCCAGACAGCGCCATCCTCCTGTGCGGGTCTGTCCACACTCTTTGGACACCGAGACTCCGCTGCGCCACGCCGCCGAGATTCACCGTCGTCGATGCGGAGGAGAATAGATAACACCCCTCCACCTCTGGACCCCTCCAATCAGCACCTGCTCTGTACTTCATAGTATGAGATAAGAAAATATCTCATGTCCTGTCAATGTGTAACACTCGTTTAAAGCAGAAAAGTAAGTGAAGATTATGAAAGTATATCCGGAGACGGAACACGATCACCGATTGAGTATTCCGGACGTATCTTCCGGGACCATGTTCTGAAGCAAGCAAAGTTTTCAGTGCAGCGGCGCCTATTCAAGCACAGTGGTAGCACTGGCGTATCGGCAGGCGGGGGTAGGGTATCTGTCCGTCCATGTACAATAGAATACAGTGGCCCATACGTACAGATACAGTGGCGGGCGGCCCTCTCCAGCTTCACAAGGTATTCCATTCTTGTACGAAAGGGCGTCCATCCTGGGGTCTCCGGTGCAGTGCACATACTCAGCTCATGCCCTTCAATCTTCAATTCCTGAGCTGTATGCAGCCATCACTCTCCCGGACAGCCTGTTGCTCGCTCGCTGACGACAATGACAATGCCGCGGCAGTCCCGCGATTCCACGGGGATATTATTTAGCCCCGAGCCCCAAGCGACTAAGAGAGAAAATTAATTAGTGCTCCCTCTGTTTCAAAATAAGTATCTCAATTTTAGTACTATGATTTGGTGCTAATTTTAGTACAAAGTTATGCTGAAGCACCGGACTTTATACTGACTTTATTGTAAAGTTGAGACACTTATTTCGGGACGGAGGGAGTAGGATCGGAGCCGATCAACCTAACCGCGGGGATCGGTATAGTATAGGGTTCCTCTGGAGATATGTAGGGAGGGGGACAGCAAAAGGCCTCAGCCTGATGCTGATGCCGCACTAGGAGTAAGCAGCACACTTCGGGGTAGCGTAACCTAACCTTAGAGCAAGCTCAAGCAAATTACAGCCACCATGTTTAGAGAAATGGATTTCAGTTGAACAAAAATTTCTTTCTGCTGTGTGCATCTTCTGATGCAGAGGTTGAGAGGGTTTCCGGCCGGGCTCCGGTAAGAGGAGAAACACGGTCGGTTCATGGTAAATGGTTTGTTTGTTTGTGACGGAAAACGGTAAAAGTTCCTCTGTTCCAAACAGGGCCCGAGTAGAAACTACTTCCTCCATTCCATAATATATAGGAGCATTTTTTACGCTATGGGACGGAGGGAGTAGAAACTAAACTTTATGAAGATTTGTTTTTAATTATTTTAACAAAAGCTGGACACTACTACTGCAAGGTGGCGCGGCGGAAGGGATGACATGGTCATGGACGGATACGAAATGAGATCCAGCGGAGAGCGGATAAAAGGGACGGGTAACCTACCAAAGCTGGGAGACAGCGACGCCCCTCGCCTCTTCTCCTACGTGCACCACCCACATGCAACAACCACCGGCTGTAACTAGCACCACCATTTCTGCCTACGCAGGTGAAAATGTGATGTGGAGTTCCATCTCATCTCAGAAAAGAAGGGATGCTAGCTGCTGGTGAATGGTGATGTTGATGGTGAAATGAGAGTTTCTGATGATGATGATGATGATTAAAAGGTTCCAACAACTGCAAGTCGCATACTACCCTCCCTCCGTTCACTGTTTAAAGACGTTTCAGGTATTTCAATATAGACTAATACGGACCGAAATGGGCGAACAAACACGCTAAAACGCGTCTATATACTTTCAATTCAGGAAAACAAAAAGTTTAAACATCTTATGATGTTGAAAGGAGAGAGCATCTATTACGAACTTATAGCTGGTGATAAGTCACTGTTCACTGTGATTGGTGAGCATTCCGTAAGTACCGAAATGAGTGAACAACACGCTAAACCGTGATTGACAAGTAACTGTTCGCTGTGATTGATGAGCATTCAGCGAGCACCACTTAACTGTAATTTGGCGGCCCAATCATTGGGCTGTAAAACAATACAGAACATATAGTATATGCATTGGTAGTATATATGTTCATAATTGCCATTTCCACGACAAATGCAAAATAGAAGTACATGGTAGTAGTATCGTCCCAATATCTGCCGAGTTCTTACACATTAGGGGAGATGATGGTGATTCTAAATATTTTCACCATATCTAAGTACATGATTTACTATTTTTGAGACCACATAATCTCATCAACACGAGAAGAATCAAGGAGAGGATGGTAGTTCAGCTGGGATTCATTCTAGTGTCCCCGATCCCCGCCGTCTTGGTACCATTCGGCATCGGATGTGGATGATCAAATCAGTTCTCAGTCCGGAAGTCAAAAGACCGTTAGCTTAGGAGCTTCACTCGCCATACTTTTCTTATGTACAAAAATATGGGCCTTGGTGATTATCAGTGATCCTGTGATCGTCTAGAACTCAATCTCTGGATGATCTGCTGCTTGTAACTGACCTGCGTAAGCCGAACCACACAAACCTGTTAGTCCAAGCTGAATTACCAAGGCGTGCAGCAAGCAACGATCCATCATTGTTCACTATACGAACCATCGAAATTCGGCGCCGAACCCGCATTCTCCTGGCTTTGCTCGTGGTCCATATGCAGGCCATTTTGGGCACTCGCCTCCCAGAAATCCTGTTGCTGAGAAAAAAAGAGGCAAAGAGTATCAGGATCAGATGCATATTAACTATCTTAATTGAGTAGGTATATTGCAGTTTTCCAGGCAATCAACAGTCACCTGTTTTTGAAAAGGGTACTGCGGTGCGGGCGGTAGAGCCATGTCTAACAGACCCATGGAGCATTGGTTCTCCATAGCACCCGAGCTGAAGGACTGGTAAAGGTCTGCTTGGTCACACAATGGGTACACCGTGCCAGCACTCTCCAATGGAAAGACCGTGCTCGCCGAGGGGCCGAGTGCTTGGTTCATCTGAATATACAGAGGAAACAGCATGTTAGAGGCAGATTGTTTCATAGAGCCAAAGCGCGAGAAGATGCGAGATAAACTGGAGCTCACATCTTTGTGTAGGAGGTTCGACAAGGTGTCGAAGTCAAGTTGCGGGTTCACGGTCGAGAGCTTCATGGACAAGAACTGAAAAGAGTAAAACAGCGAAAGGATTAGAGAATTCGGCGAGAGCTACAAATTATTTTGGTACCGCGACAAATTGTGTGTCGTGTCTAACCTCGACTTGCTGCTGCAGCGATTGAACATAGTTTATGATCTCATCGAGCATGAGCGCTTTGCCAATCACCTAGAAATGGGAATTTCTTCAAATTAGACAAACTAGAGATGGTAACAAGTGACACTTGCACACAAAAATGTTATGTTCCCAGTCTAGATGGAATATTTTGATACCTTGTTACATCCTGGCACCAGGTCCTGGAGCATCTTCATCTTGAGGGTGATCTTCTCTCTTCTAACCTGTCATATGAACCCACAATTGAGGACAGCGTGCAAAAAATTTGTACTACTGACAACTTTTCATTCAGGCATGTAAAAGAGACGGCGAGAGTAAAATTAGAGTATTTACCCTCTCAGCAAGGCTGTGGCTGTCGGTTGCCTGGCCTCTCCTGGCCCGGACGTGGACGTAGTCCCGGGGCGGCTCGTCCGCCGCCGGCTGCTTGGACTTGGAGCCCTTGCCCTTGGCCTGCTTGCGCCCTCTCTCCCCGCCGGCCGACCCATCGCTGGCCGTGGCAGTGGCCGCCTCCTCCTCCACCTTGGGCCTCACGGTCTCGTCCTCAATTTTGCACTTCTTCGAGTCGGGACCCGTCGGCTCTCCCATCTGCAGACCAAATTCCGGCGTCATCTTCGGCTAGAACCAGCAAGCAGGCTAATGCACGGCATAATTTCCTCAACAACCGAAAATTGAAATCCATGGAGCAAGAAGTCACCTTGGCGAAACAGGACGCGGTCTCCTTGCCCTTGCCGGCGCCCGCGGCCGGCGCCTTCCGCTTCCTGGCATTCGCGCCGTACGCCCACGCCGGGTCGGAGACCGAGGACCCCTCCCGGGACGCGGCGCCTAGCTCGCCGCCGCCGCCCCCCTCCGCGGCACCGAACTGGCCGCCGTTGCCGCCGAAGCCGGGCATCCCGGCCGCCCGGTCCCCGAACATGGCGGCGAGGCCCGCGGCGCCCGCGCCGCCGCAGAGCGTCTCGAAGAAGCCGGCGTCGAGGCCCGGCACGCCGAAGTCGAGCCCCGCGGAGCCCATGAGCAGGCCGGAGACGTAGTCGCCGTCCATCGCGCGCTTCGCTCGATCGGCGCCCTCCCGGAGCAGAAGCAGAAGAGACCGGCCGCGATGATTGCGCAGGAAGGAAGCAAGGCGGACGGAAGGGAGGGGGAGGGTGAGGGCAAGAAGTGGACTTGGGGAAAGTGGGTGCGGGGGGCGAGGCGGGGGAGGGAGGGACGGTAGGTGGGTGTGGAGGGGATTCCGCGGATTGATTTATAGAAAGGGGCTGTGGAGCCGGCCCTCGCCCAGCGCGGCGGAGGGGAGGGGTGGAGATGCTTGCGGCGGTGGGCTACCGCGGGTGGGCGGAGGTCAAAACAAAAGAGACGGACGGGGGTGGAGGGTAACCTCGCCCGTAGACGCTGCAGGGGCGGAGACACCGCCCCGGGATTTCCGCTCCGGGGAGGGAGGGGGCCGACGGCGATGGGTTTCACGGTTCTCTTTTCCTCTTCTTCTTTTACCCCCGGTCGACTGGGCCGCTGTCATGCCGCCGCAAACGCGAGCGCGACCGCACTCATTACTGCCAAAATCACGGATGGGGTCTGTAAAGCCAGAAATCACAGATTTGACCTGAGGCAGAAATCAAATCACAAACTGACCTGTTCAGGAAAAAATTTCACTCTGCTGACCCTTTGGTGCGGCGCCCAGATTCAAATCACAAACTGACCTGTTCAGGAAAAAATTTCACTCTGCTGACCCTTTGGTGTGGCGCCCGACATCTGGGCGCCGCACCCTACTGTGCAGCGCCTTCCCCTTAGGCGTCGCACATCCTGCCAGCGTGGCAGCCCTGGTCCAGTTGCGGCCCCACACGCACCTGTGCAGCGCCTAAGAGCTAGGCGCCACACTTTGACGTGCAGCGCCTAGCCCTTGGGCGCTGCACAGTGACTTAAGCGCGGCCGCCCAGCCCGACCAGGCAGTTATTCATCTCTCCGCTCTCTGTACAGAGAGCAGCGGCGGCGGCGGCGGCGCCCCCATCTAATCCCCCCACATCCCTCTCAGATCTGAAGATTTGATCCGTGAATTCGATCCCCAATCCATCCTACTAGGTAAACTCTTCCCTTCTCTTTCTTTTGCTCCGTAAATTTGTTGCCATTCTAGAGATTTGTCCATGATTTGATGGAACCCTTGATTTGTTTGGTTTGCTCGATTTAGGATGTGTATTCATATTGATAGTACCGTAGTGTTATTTATTAGTTCACAATATATGATTCTTGTTGTTGAAACCCTAGATTGTTTAGTTTTTTTAGATATATATGAGATGCCTATTTTTGTTTAGTTTATTTGAGATGAAGATGAACTTTTATATGTTTATTGTTTGAAATTGTAAGGATGGTTTGGCTTCTGGACGATGTCTACGACGTGCAACACCGGGCCTACATGATGCGCGAGAAGGATAAGGTAATAATGAGTAATCTAAATATTTTGCAAATTTGCCTTTAGTTGAAATTTACATGCCCTAAGATTTGTCATTACTTGTTTTTTGCAGAAGCTTGAACCTCTGAAGATTCGGTATCACGGGGTCTCTGGTCCTGCCATGCCTTACGATGAGCGGTACACACCGTACATCAAGCAGGCAGGACTACTCCCGTGGATTCTGTTGGTCAGCCGGTCCACGCCGAATCTGAACGCTCCACTGGTGTCCGCTCTTGTTGATCGGTGGAGGCCAGAGACCCACAGTTTCCATCTTCGGACCGGGGAGATGACCGTGACGCTCGAGGATGTCTCGTTGATCACCGGTCTTGCTATCGACGGGAGGCCTCTATGTATGAGCACCGATTCTGATGGGTGGCGCGAGCAGATGATTGCTCTTATCGGTATGGCTCCTACCGAGGCTGAGGATGATGTAGAGGAGGGAGAAGAGAAGAAGAAGAGGGAAAGGAAGGCAGCCGGAGCTGCTTTCACGTGGATTCAAAATAACTTTGCGACGTGCCCTCCGGATGCAACTGATGATGTGATCCAGACACATGCTCGTGTGTATATGTGGTACATTGTGTCGAGGACTTTGTTTCCTGACTCCACTGGCAAGAACGCTCCATGGATGTGGCTGAAGGCGTTGACCGTCTTCGATAGCAAATGGAGCTGGGGTTCAGCGACTCTTGCCTACTTGTACCGACAGGTAGTTGGTCTGTTTTGTGATTAACTCATTTATTCATTAGCAATGCAAGCTTGCTGTCAAGTTAACATTGTTTTTCTTTCATATGTAGCTGGATGATGCGTGTTGCAGGATCACACCTAGTGCAGGCATTGGTGGTAATCTGCTTCTACTTTCTGTATGGAGCTGGGAGCGTCTGCCTGTTGGACGCCCGAAGAGCGTCAGGTTTGATCCTTGGTATGCAGATGAACATGACGAATTACGGCGCCCCACGTGGGCTTACAAGTGGGATATTGTTTCCGAGATGACGAACGATGTCAATCTCATGTACCAAAAGTACATTGCCGAGTTGGACACGATTACGCCTGAGCAGGTAAGGAGGTCATTACTTTAGTCCTTTCTCATGCTTGCTTGAAAAATAGTTATCAAATTTGCATTGTTGCCCTGTTTCATAGGTGGAATGGCAGCCATATGGCGCGGGTGAGAGCTTGGGGTACACCGCGGACTTCCGCCTCAACCCGATGTGCTTGCGGGATAAGGATCTCTGGCTTATGTGGTGCCCACTGATATGCAACTGGGCGGTTGAGTTTCATTTGCCGCATCGCGTGTATCGTCAGTTTGGTCTTTTCCAGCCTCACCCGCCGGATTGGGTGGACACGGATAAAGCACTTCATAGGTAAGAGAGCATGTGTGCGTATTGTCTAATCATCGGGACTCCTTTTGATTGTGCTAATATTTGGTTTTATACCACGCAGGTTGGATAGGAGAAGGCAACAGAAGATAAAGGACTGGGCCAAGCATCATTCTGCGTATGTTACCCGCTTCCAGCTTTGTGTGGAGCAAGCTCGTAGCACTGCACGCGCCCCGCTTCGTGAGCACAACTCACTTGCTTTTGATAACTACGTACGATGGTTTATTGGAACTACTCGAGTTGAGATATGCCCGCCGGCATATAATGAGGATATTCTTGAAGAACCCGTAAACTTTGAGGATCTAGCAAAGGGGAAGTACAACAGAGATGTTAGGCTAGGGCAAGGAGTCCCTGCTGTTCCGGTGATTAACTATGTGGTAAAGTGTTCCCCTCTTTACTTTCCTGTTGACCGTATTACACATGTTTGAATGGCTAACACATTCATTTTTTCTCATCCGCAGCGCACCGAGATCAAGAAAGCAGCTGATGAGAGCCAGTCTATTCTGGAGAAGACACCGGTTGGAACTAGCAATGATGATGGTTCACTACGAGCATTCCTCAAGGTACATATCGCATTCACTATGAGAGCCAGTCTATGTTGCGAAGTTTGATATCTTACACACTTGTTCGTGTTACAGCGTCAGGCCAAGAAGTTAAGGCGGTTATCGAACCTTCTCGGTTGCCGTGATCCTGAATATGATGAACCATCTGCCTCTAGGTCTGGTACACCATCAGACCCCGCACCTCACCATGAGGGGGACGATGTGAGTTCCTCATATGCTTATATGGATGATGAGGGTGGATCACCCAAGAGGTATGACTAATCCTTTAGATGTGATTCTCACTTGATTACGACATCGGCCTTCACCATATTGTTTCGTTGTGTGATAGGGCGATGAGCTTGATGATGACATGACTTTGGCGGACGCTCAAGCTCGGTCCGCATATGTGTTCAAGACTAGGCAGCCCAAACGCCGGTACACGCCCAATGACTATGACAACAGAGGCAACCCAAAGGTGGTCGTAGGGACCTCGCGGATGGCTAGCTTGGATGATGAGGCGGAGGAGGAGGCGGAGGCGGAGGCGGAGGCGGAGGCGGAGGCGGAGGAGGAAGTGCACGAAGAGGATCCTCGTGCTCCTAAGAAGAAGAAGCTTGCCTGCAGGCGTGCCACCAGGAACACGCGCGGAAGGCATTAGTGCTTGTTCATGTTAATTGTAGCTGTTTAATTAGGTTGACGAACTTGTGAGGTTATGTTATATGTTGGTGAACTCTTACTAGTGTGGTATTTGTGTTTGCGAACCTGAAGTAATGTTGAATTGTCTTAAATGATATGATGTTCAAGTTATTAGTTTCTGCAGTTTACATTATTTTTATTATGTTATATGTTGGTGAACTCTTACTAGTGCAGTTTACAGTATTTTTATTATGTGAGTGCTGCTGCAGGAGGCCAAAATGGCATCTGTTTCTGCAGTTTTGCTTATAGCAGCAGTGCAACGCCCAACATATAGGCGCTGCACTGTACTGTGTGGCGCCCAACAATTGGGCGCTGCACTGTATAGTGCAGCGCCCTGTCCTTAGGCGCTGCACTACTTCCAACATCTCACATCCAGAGAGCCACAGTTGGCTTGCATCACATCCACAATACTTACAATGACTGCAGCATCACAACAATTTGAACAAACATAAATTTTAAGCCGGCGAGTTCATAACTTAAGACAATTCAAACATTACTACGACATGGTTCACGACACATTCATTACAAATGACAAATGGCAGCTTGCCCTAGAAGATAGTTCACCAACATCTCACATGCCCTCACAACTTCATGACACATTCATTAGAAAATAGTTGACGACGAGTGCACCGAAGCGAAGTCCCTACTGAGTAGAGCGAGGCCATTTCCCCTTCTTGTCACGTGCCGAGTCCTCCTCTTGCGCCTCGCGAGCCTTTGCAAGCTTTCTTGCCCTCTCCTCCTCACGAGCAAGTTTCGCTTGGCGTGCCCTCTCCTCCTCTCGTTTCTTCCGCTCCATCCTCTCCTTCTGACGACGCTCTTCCTCCAAGCCTCTTCGAAACAATTCTTCGAACCGTCATTGCCGCCTAAGACAATCTGCGTATTGGTCCTTTTTCACATCTTCTGGCACTTCTAGATCTATCCACGTGAAGTACTTGCATAGAGGAGGCGGTGACTGCATAAAAATTTGTTGTTAGTGTTGACACACATTTGAGAGTAA